CAACAACAACAACAACAACAACAACAACAACAACAACAACAACAACAACAGCAACAGCAACAGCAACAGCAACAGCAACAGCAACAGCAACAGCAACAGCAACAACAACAACAACAACAACAACAACAACAACAACAACAACAACAACAACAACAACAACAGCAGCAGCAGCAGCAGCAGCAGCAGCAGCAGCAGCAGCAGCCGCAGCAGAGATCTGACCCATATAGCAAGTAAATAAAATAGCGAGAACAATGTCGACAAGTCATGTGTTGCTTATTTGCTCGTTTCCATTATGCTTTGCATGGATCAGGTCATTTTCTTGTTCTACATTTGTCATGTGCTACATTGGTTTGCTTTGTTTGGGGTTTCAAGGATCCAAACACTTGTTCGTAGGTGGTTACGTGCTTGTGTTTTTGCTTTACTTTGCATGGATCCAGTCAGTTTACGCTGTTTATCAGTTTATGCTGTTTAGTATTTACGTGTTGTACTGCTCGGGTGGAAATGCCAACCTGCCTGTTTCGTGGAATTGCAGGAATGCTTGTGAGGTGGCGGAGGCATACCTATACAAGAACGTGTATGTATTCATGCATGTATGTGTATATATATATATACATAATATTGTATATATATATATATGTATACACACTTATATATGTATTACCTCAGAGCCCACGCTTCCCCTCTGGCAACCCGAGCCCGTCACTCCGGCTCCGACTCCCCCCGCCTCTTGCAAGACCTGCAGCGATGAGGGCCATGGCGCCACGGCGGCCGCCACCTGGTTCCAACAGCTAACCCGTGAAAAGAAACCTAGGGTCGCCCTACCTGGAGCGCTCTTAGAGCCTCTTTAAGGGCGTTCTGATCGAAGAGTTCTATTAACCATTCTGGTAGGGGATCCCCAATACCCGGTGTTTGTGTGGCTTCCATGATAATTTGCAGGGGCCTCTTATTGCTTGGATGTTCAATATGGCAGTGCGCAGGCTCCTTTGGAAGACTGGTTTCCTTTTGGTTACCCTCTTTCCAATCCTGTCATAAGGCCGAAGGGGAAGCGGTGAAATAAATCCTAGCCAGTCTTGAAAGGCCGAAGGGGCAAACCCTGAGAAGGGGTGACCACTTCGCTGGCAGAAGACAGTTGAACACAGGGTGTCTTGTCTACAGCGGTGAGGTGGTTCCTTCCTGGTCAGGCTAAGTTGGGCCTACCGCATCAGCATCAAACGTCCTTGGGGCACTGCGGCTTGATCTGCGATTTCCTTTGGGGGTCTGAAGCAGCCTGAATTCAGGTGGCATGGTCATCTAGCCGGTGTCTCAAGCACGACACAGCGACGACAACAACCACGACAACAACCTTTGGCACGTTTTGGTGTCTTTTCCGCCGCAAATTGCCCGGCCTGGTTGAAGAGCTGAATCCCTTCGTCTTTGGACCACAGCTGGATGGACCTGGCCGTCACATGGCCAGAAAGCGATTCAAGGGAGGTTTGCAGCTCCCCCCGAGTACCCTTGTCAGGATACTAAGTTCTTTTGGTAGCTTCTACTAGTGGGCATGTACAGTTCAACTTTTACTGGCATGTGTCCGAAATCCCTCTGACCTGGCGGGCCGGGATGTGTTGCTATTTGCTCATAAGGTTTCAACCAAAAATGCAAACGGTGCATCTTTCAGGGAGACCTACTTCGGTCGGGCTGTTAGGGTTGGTTTAGGGTTGGCTTGGGGTTGGTTTAGGGTGGGTTTAGGGTGCGTTTAGGGTTGGCTTAGGGCTGATTTAGGTTTGGTTTGGGGTTGGTTTAGGGTGGGTATAGGGTTAGTTTAGGGTTGGTTTAGGGTTGGCTAAGGGTTGGTTTACAGTGGGTTTAGGGTAGGCTTTGTGTGGACTTAGGGTTGGTTTGAGGTTGATTAAGGGTTGGTTGTGGGTTAGGGTTAAGGGTTCGGGGTGTAGAATTGGTTTAGGGTTGGGGTTTAGGGTTGGTTGTGGGTTGAGTTGTCCTACGTGTCGGGATGCAAGGGTGCGAGTTCAGGGGCTCGAAGTCTGGGGACCGTAGCAGCGAGGTGGGGGGGGGGGGTGACGGTGTTGGCCAGTATGTGCCCCCGCTTCTAGTATCAGGTTCCGAGTGATATCCCCAACAGCATGAGGCACATTTGCGTGCACTCCTCGGAACCGCCCCACACATCCCCTCCCCAAATCGACGAGAGCGCTCGGGGTGCTGCCTATGTCCCACCCCCCCTCTACGGCGTTGTGCGTCCGAGATGCCACCGCCACTTCTCTGCGGCCCGGCCGGCGCCAATGGCGAGCCCGAGCACACGCCTCGGGCGAAAGACTGGAGGAACAACAACGACCCCGTCCCATTCCGTGTCTTGATTCCAAGGTAGACTGGAACAGGGTTCCCTTTTGGATTTGGGAATCCAACCCTGGGGCTTAAGTTGACCTTTGAGTAATAAGTAGAACTGTGCCTGATGCCCCAAGGGAATAAAAAGGAGGCTGTTGACGGACTAGCTCTCCTCTGACTACAACTGTGAGCTTAGCCGACACAGCAACCAAGAGTGGTTTTAACATGTTTCAATTCTCTCTCCTCCTGAGCAAAAGGTCCAACCTTTTGTAGGTTTGGTGGAAAAGTTTTTTTCTTCCAAAAGGTCTAAGGGGGCTGCAACTCCCCCGAAAGTGTTTTTGGATCCCCTGTAAAATTGGAGAAATCCCCCAACTTCATCATGCAGGGTTTCACAAATTGCGGACCTTTTTTAGGATGCAAATCAAACGTGTGTTTCATGTTTGTCCAGGACTGGCGAAACTGAGTTGTCCAACGTTGGAGGGGGATCCCGAATCCGCAATCCGGAGCACTACAAGGTGAAGCACTACCATCTGGCATATGGATCTTGCGGATAGTTTTTTAACCACCCCCACCAAAGCATGACAAAAATATGTGCCAAAGGAGCCTACCCAAATTCCAAGGAGGGCAATGGCAGAAGAGCCCGCACAGCGTTTGCTTTGGGCGCCGGGCGCAGAGGTCTCCACTTCGGCCTGACAAAACCAAGGACCCACCACCGAGGCGCCTTTCGCCTCAGAAGGTCAAATGAGGATTAGAGCCAAACAATAGTAGGACAAAAAAGGCTCATGCCAAAGAAGGCCAAAGCAGATGAAGTTGATTTGGTTTGACCGATGCCTGGTCTGCATTCTTGGGTGACACAGCCCCCAACCCGAACACGTGTTCGCGCGATCAGAGTCTGACGGGCGGATAGATAGGGCCAGCAGCGTTTGGAGTTTTGAAGCTGCCTACATATTCCTGTATGGGGGTGTGTGCTTTGAGGTATTTATCCTTTTCGGGGTGTTTGGAGTATTCCCATACTGTGGGCCTGCTGGCCTAGGAGCTAGATGGCTAGCTTTGCTCCGTGTCAACCCCCATATTTAGCTAGAGTTGCCAACTTTCTGGCTCGATAGGGAAGTTTCGGGAATGACTCCAAACTGAAGCATGCCTTGTGGGTTTGTGGACTATCCCAACAAACAGTTCACTCAGAAGCAGCAAGCCAAACCAAAGTACACGCCAACCCGACCCGGGCGCCGACCCAGACGCCGCCGCGCCTGGCGGATCTGCAGCAGCAAACTCTGCCCCTCCCGCCACTTCTGCCGCGCCTGGGCGCCCTGCAGCACCTCCCACGGCCTCGGGTCTGGCTGCCGGCCTGGGGCCTGGGGCCTGGGGGTGAAACGCCCGCATTTGGCTCTGGTCTCACGCAAAGATGTTTTCAAAAGCGGGTCAGTCGAAGAGGTCGTTGATCTTCGCTCCTTCAAACCGAAATGGCAGGTACTGGAGCGTCTCCTGGTTGCATGTGGCATCAAACATCGTGCTTCTGCGGGGCCGCCAGTTTCATTTGCAGCTTTCAGGTTTTTGCCTGCCTCAAGGGGATCTCTGATACACGTTCCGTCGCATGCTGTCAAAAACAGCCCTTTTCGGGACCTTGAAATTTGTGCTGCTTGTTGGTTCCTTCCCCCCCCCCCCCACCTCAGGCAGTCAGCTGGGAGCCCCGGCTCGGCCATTGCGCCAAACGGGCTCGCCCATTCGGCAACCCATGGTGACAAACCTTTTCCCCCTTTTCGGGCAAGGAAACCGTACCCACACTGCCAATGCCTTGTCAACCCTCCTCATTATTTGGGATCAAACCTTGATGGTTCGTTGATCTGGATGGCGTGAGGGCTGCCACCAACGTCTTGCATCGGCCTGTTTCAGGCACGGGGTCGACGTGCTCTGCTTCTGGCCGCCGCAAGAGGCAAGTCGCCGTAGCTTTATATCCTCTGGTTTTAGACTTGGCCCAGGCGTGGGTATAGTAAGCAACGATCTGCGGCATGCAATTGCTACTGTGGCCAATCTGCATGAGCGCATGGGAAGTCCATAGACCTAAGCAGCTTGTGAGCCGGAGGCACGCATTGAGCGCTCTACCCCAAAGGTGGAAGCCCTAAAATAAAGGCCCTTCATGGGTGAGCTCGTTTTACCCCCCCCCCTCCAAATGAAATCCTTATGAATTCCCCAGAAACATGGTAAAAGTATCGATTCTGGGTGCTTGTCTCCACAGGGAATACGCACACCGCTTGTTTTAGTCGATGATCGCCATCTACTTCCAACCGTACATAACTCTGAGTTGGGGGTCCCCTCAAACACATACCTCAGACAAATGCTAAAATTCCAAACCTGACATAAGACACCATCATGAAAGACGAGATATCCGCTGCTCGTGACTGTTTTGAATCGACCTTACTTGAAGGAGCCCGCGCGATTCCGAACCCGCAAACTTTTTGGTCGAACCGTTCATTGTCCAAGAAATATCAAGAAACCTTGACCACACTTGAATTCCCACCCAGGGTTGATCCGAAGACCCTGTCAGGGTTGAAGTTTGGCCCAGAAACCAAACCAATTAGCTACCCTTGAGACTTCTTGTTTGCTTTCCTGGCACAAGGGGGAGGGGTTGCCAACTCCATTGCCCACACCGCACGGCAAAAGCCAGATTTGCGAGGGCGAAACCCCGCCTGCAGCCCAGACGTCCACCTTCTCGTCCCAAGGCAGCCCTAGGACCAGCTCTGGGCCTGGGAATCGGTGAGCTCGCGAGCTCACCCAAGACATATGAAGTTCATATGAAGTGACAATGGCCAAAACTCCCCCGCCCCAAGTCTTCCCAGAAGAACTCAACAGAAACCTTGTGGTGTGTGTGCTTGGTTTGCGGGCAACAATGATCCGTGCTCTTCTGGTCTCGAATAGGGATTGGCCGTTCAATCGAAAGCCAGTTGGATCCCATCTGACAGGTTGACCCTCTCGCAAGGGCTAGTGGCACAAAGTCCGTTTGGCCGAAAATCCAATTGAAAAGGGAGGGTTCCTGTGATTCTCCCTTCAAATGGTTTTACAAGACACGGAGAAAGGCGGGGTGTCCCGAACCTTTTGATACACTGCCCACGTACATCATGTTGTAGACATCGTACTTCACAGCAATTGACAGCTGCAGGCCACTGTGCTGAAACCAAGGAACCCTCCATTGGTGCTGCCCAACGCCAACAATGGTGGGTTGCCGGGCCCGTACCCACTTCGCAACGCCGCAGAAATCCCGCGTGCGCCGCGCGCTGGACATGTTCCGCGACTCATCCGGATGAACTGCTCTCTCCGCTGTCTGACTCGCAAAGACCAAGAAGACTCTGCTCCTGCGGGTGCCCATTGCAGCAGCGAGCCATGCAACATTATGCAGGTCACGGGAAAGAAATCTCAAGTAGAAGACAACAAAAGGCTCCCTCTGCAGCCCACCCCAAAACCCTCAAAATACAACGCGTCCAATATAAATATACATGTGCATATACACATGTAATATATATATATATATACATAAGTCAATGTATATTCCTATATTTCTCAAGGTAGGCCCCTTTCCGGATGGTGTTGAAGGGACGCCATAAGAAAGCAACCCATTATAAGAAAGCAACCCATTTTAGGCGAGGGGTGCTCTATTGTCAGAAACACCGAGAGATATATATGTGAAATGTATATGTATATATACACAAATATGCATACACATTAATATGAATACCCGTGTGTATGTGTGCAAACCAAGCCCAGCCTCCGTCCTCAGTGTCCTTGCTCGAAACGCAGCGGCGGTAGCAGAAATAGCCGCCGCCGCAACAGCAGCAAAGGGCGACAACCTGCGATTTCGGAGTCCAAGTCATCTGTAGCTCTTTTGAGGGATTCACAATTTGCAGAAGACATGGTCTTTCGTGAGCTACCCTTTTTCATAGGGAAACCCAGTAGGAAACCGCTTGGGGGGGGTTTGGTCCATGGCTAGCTGGGTCCAGGAAGGCCACCTTCCAACACAGCCCTCTGGATATCAACCCTCGATTGGATTCCTCCCCTTCCGCGGCACCGTTAAAATCACCAAAAGGCGGGTGGGTTTTCGAACAAACCCTTACAATTCCAACAACCGATATAGAAATGGATGCCAAGTAAAGGGCCCTCTTGGGTTTTCGCTCGTTCTATCCCTGGATCGGTGGAAGATTGAAAGAACCCGAAATCTGTGAAGCCGGCCACTTCTCTGCCTACTTGTCTTAAGGGATTCAAGAAAGTGGCAGCAGTGATGGGAACCCGCTTGCCCCTAAAACCCGATGTTTAAGTGAGCCCTTGTCACGTTACTGGATAGCTCAATCCCCTTGTGCAACCAATTTCACTCGTTCCAGTCTGAAGATCCAACCCAATAGCAGCGCAGCACAAGCGCAAGTTCGAAGGGGGCGACCAAAAACCCAATGTTCCGTCTGGCCCACGCCAGGGCGCGACAGGGAGCAACAGCAGCACCTCGGGGAAGGAAAGCTGGAACAAACTCGGCCAGTGAAGGTGTAGTTTTGCTGTAGGGTCCCGGCATATGTTGGGCCAGCGAGCCTCCTTCCAAAAAAGGGAGTCCCAAAATTATCATGGGATCTCCTTTTGCTTCCCTCTAAACCCGAGACACAAAGGTCCCAGCTCCCAAGAAAAACATGAAAGGAGCGCCAATCCAAAACTCACCCTTCCCACTTGAAGTCAAGTCAGAACCCCAATTGCTCTCAGCTAAACTTAGATCTGGATGAAGCAACCCTAGTGGAGATTAGGGCGTGCAACTCCTCCAATGATGTCCCCTCTAATAAACAGTTGCACCCCCCCATTTCATCAATTTATCAACCAAAGGACATGCATCATGGGTTCCTAGTATCTGGGGAAACATGCTTCTCATTTGGAATCCGCCAACTCCAACGACACTCCGAATTTTGTGTGTAGGTATTCATTTCAAAACGTTCTCTGAAACGGGATCCCTTACAAAAAAATAAAAACTCCAATTCAAAATCCGTCAAATGGTCATCCACCAACCCCTGTGATCCCACCCTCACCATGGTACATCCAAGAAGGGATCAAATTCGGAATCCGCCAAGTCCAAGCTTCCGGGAATCTCAAAAATCGGTTGCTATGAAGCAACCAGGAGTTTATTCATCCTCGGGTCTCATTCTCTTTACTTCCTGAGTTGGCCCAACACAGTCTGAACTTTTGAATACTACGTTTCAGACCGTTTCAGACCCAAAAAGTGACTCAAGCCTGGATGAGTGCCCGCCCCAACCCAAAGCCCATGGGTTTCATCCTGTCCCATACTCGGGTTTCCAGGTCGCCCGTCGCTGCGAATTCACCGTCCAAGGCGCCGTGAAGAGCACCATGCCGAGACCAGTGGCCAGTGGCCCCGCCTCCCCCCGGTAGGGCCCGAAGTCCTCCACCTCCCCTGGCGGCTTCGCGCCGGGACCCGGCAAATTGAGCGCTTCCTCCAAAAACCAGGCCAAACAAAGGGCATAGAATGTGGTTTTGTAAAGGATCCACCTTCAAGGCCCCCTTAACTGGTCAAAGAATACCATAAACCACCTGCTGTCCCAAATCAGCGGGTAGAGTATTTTCAGTGGCCCAAATTTGATGTAAGGAACACTGTGCATGGCGGTGATTTGTCAGCAGAAGTCTGGGGGGTGGGGAAAATTGTGTTGCTTGTTCCAAACTACTTGCAAATGGCCCGAACACCACAATTGGATCTCTGCAAACCGTGGTTGGACGCTCCAAGGCTCATTCAAATGTTCAGTTCTCAGAGAAGCACGGTATTGTCCATCGAATCCTAACTCAAGCATGTGGTGATGTTCAAAAAATTGGAAGGATTGTATCTTTGAGAAGCACTGGTGGGCACCTATACCAGCAAGATGCTGGTCGGAACCTCTGAACCGTGCCAGCCCGACAAACTCAACCACAACGAGACTAAAACTTCATGAAGCATCCCATCCCGTCACCAGCGGGGTTGGGCTCTTGATTCCAGTGGGGCCTTTCTAAAGCTTCCACATGCTTCCACTTCGGGGTCCCTTCCGGGAACTTTGCCGCGAGTTTGCTGGGAGTTGGTTCTCAGGGCTTGGTGTTCAGCAATTGACGCGGAGAGATGCCAAATGTTCTCGGCTGTTGAATGGAAGCATGTGGTCAGTGTCAAACCGTCAAACCTCTGACTTCCCGCAGGTATGATGGGGTATGGGCACTCAAGGCCTATGTTGCAGCCGGCAGCCACCTGCTTTTTAGGGCGAATTTGTTTTTGGACGACAGGTCTACAAAGGCACTAAAACAAACCCCCACACTTTACAAATCTCACACACACACACACCCGCGCGCGTGTGGCACCGGCCGCCCCTCCCCCCCGGGCCCACAGCGCCTGAGAGTCCCATCTCCGCGAAGGGCATCGCCTGCTGCAACTGTGGCTGGCCCTCCTCATCCCGGATGATGGCGGTGAGACGCCTTTGGTGCCAGTCCAGCTGCAGCTCCCCGAAGTTTTTGCCTCGAGAAAGCAACGCCCGAATACCGTTGGCTTTTAGTTCCACCACGAAGGCTATAGATGTAGAGGTTAGTATAGCCCCTACTACGAACCCCCCACGCAAGGTAGCGGAGCCGCACTACTGCAGTGGGAGGTTTGCGCGCTCACTTGGATCGGTATCACTAGAAGCCAGGTCAATCCTTCTCAAGCATGTCAATACCCGAACGCGGTCTCAGCGTAAAACTGAGCGCTGGCCCCTGATGTCCAAAGAAAGTCAGGTGGCCGTGGATTCCCCCAAGCAAAGGTCCCTGATAAGCAACTCTGGCCTGCAGGATGCAATTTGGGAAAAGAGTAAGCCAGCTGTCGGTCGTGCAATGTAATCATCCCTATTAAAACAAAAAGCCAGCTCTCAAAGGGCCCTTGAAAAAGTAAAGCTGGACTCAACATGGTGGACACTCGATGCCTTGGCCATGGGTTTCCAAGTAGCACCAGCTTTGACACACATGGGTCCGGAAATCCAAAAACACGCCCCAAGCCGCTGTAGGGTTGGCGGAACAAGAAACCCACAGTTGACTAACATGGGTTGCTATTTTAGAGGGAACGTGAAGGGTTCGGTGGAGCACCCCATTCATCTGCCAGGCTGATTATTGCTGGATACTCAGCTGAGCGGCCCAGGAAGTACTGCTGCTGGCCATCGCTGATCATCTGGTAGCGCCAGGGTACCGCCAGCTGCGCCAGCGTCATCACGGCGCCATGCGCAAAGTTTGCGAAGGCTTTGCCCTGCAGGTTGACCAAACACTTGTTGAAGCAACCAGACCCTTCCCCATTTGGAGGCAAAACCCAAACGACGTTGCTTAAACAAACAAGCGTCACTGGATGTTCTCCTCAAAAGGCTGCAATTCACTGCTGGCTTTTATTGAAGCGGTCACTTCTGGAGGTTCCGAATGGGAAATGGAGGAAACACCGAACAATGGATTCGAACTTGTTCAGGGGAGCAAAGGCTTTGCCCTGTCCCAAATCCAAATCCTGCGGTGGAATCTAGCTCCATTCTTGTCAAAAGATACGGTGCTAGAGCCTTGTTTTTGTTGGTTCGGTGAGGTGAGTTTTCGACCCCGTTCTGGCAACAAAATGGATGTGTCTAAAAGATGGGGAACCCCTCCCACCGGTAGATGTCTTGTCCTTTGAAACCTCGAAAGGTGCACCCTCAAGAAGGACAAGCGCAAATCAAGCAGGGTTCCTGATAGGTCCCCTTCGAACCCC